GTGCGGGGAGGCCACCGTGGAAGCTGGCTACCACACCCTCATCCGGAGCTAAACTGAGGTGGAGGGAATTCTGAAGAAGCCATGTGTTTGAGTAAAGTTTGCACTTTGGCTTTGTATACATTTCTGAGAGCAACTGAAAGCTCTTTGAATAAGAATCCTTGCACGCCACCTTTTCCACACACATTCGGGATGTTATGTTTGCCCAAGAGATACGACCTCAGTTTATGTTGCATCAGACAGCTGATCCTTTCACTCAGGTTTGGCTTGTGCCCGTTGCCGTCAAAGAGCTGATTGTATGTGCCAAAGTGGAACAGACACTCACGGCGGCCCTGGGGCTTTGGTCTACCACTTCCTGGCCCAGGAGACACTGCTTGTTTCTTTCCCCCAACAACCCTTTGGCTATGCCTGCACACGGGGTGGAGATGCCTCGGAGAATTTATTGCTGCTCCTTGAATAGTTTCCTTTATCACTCACAAGGCCTGTCATTGTACTGTGTAGGGCTGCCTGACCTGGTCTCACCATGAAGCCACCGTCCCTTCTGCCTGCTGCTGACCCTGACAGCATTTCATCAGTGGGGCTTGTCCGGAATCCTTCGTGATTTATGAGCTTCTTGTGGATATTAACAAACATGTCTTGTCAGGCTTTCTGTCATAGTACACAGCTCTTGCGACCAAAATGGTCGATGGGGTGTGTAGAGTGAAAGGCACACACCCATCCTAGCTGCTTCTGTCCTGGCCGTAGAGATCCTAATTTCCACTGTCCCCGTTTGGTTAAGTGTTCAGCTCTGGGCCCAACTTAGCCCTGCCTTGGCTTCACCCTCAGTTGGCTCCACTCTAAGATGAAATGATAAGCTGGACCTGTAGCCACTTGCATATCTTATCTTAACAAATGGTGTCCATTCCTAACATCTATTTTAACGTTTTGTCATTTAAAAATTTATTTATACTTCTCTTCTCAAATCCTAATACTCCCCCCTGCCCCCACACACACATTTGGCAGGTGGGAGCATGGTATTAATGCTTTATATCTATTAATGGCATTTGTCTGTTTGGGGCTCGTTTATGGTTATTTGAGAAAACCTGAATTCCTCTACAAACTTATAAATTACTGATGTTGGAATTTGTGCTCGGTCAATCATTTTGTCTCCTGTAACTTCTTAGGCCATGCCTTGAATGTAGTAGCTGCTTAATAACTATTTGTTATAGGGATGGATAACGACAGTCTTCTAGATGGAGTGGACTGTGACTTTGCCCCATTGGAGGGTTGTTACTGAGTTATTTGGAGATCTGGGGGATGTCCAGGATGCTTCTTGGTCTGGGCAGGATGTCAAGGCTGTCAGGGACCTTGTACCTGGAGTCTGAGAAACCCACACCATTGCTGGACCCCTTGGCATAGGCCCACTGTGTCTTTCACACTCTCTGCCTAAATGTTCAGAAAGTGCTGTAAGCTCTTAAGCAGCCCTCTACCTATATACCCCAGGAAAAAAACTCTTAGGGTTATTCTGGCCTGAGGATGATGGAACAGCAGTCTGCACTGAGAACCCTCTTCCAGGCTGAGAGTTTTGGAATAACCTTGCTTTAGGTGGGCTCGGACCTGGGTGGCACTGGGAAGCATTGCTCTGCAGTGCTGTTTTGCCTTCACAGTGGACTGTGAAGAAGCCTTCTCCCAGCCATCTTGTTCCCCAGACATTCTAAGAATGACAGCAAAACCATTGTGCTGGATGTTCTCGTCAACCTAATCAATAAATCCAGTGTTTTGGACAAGGTGTGTCACAGAACCATCCTTGGGGACCTGGCCAGGGACAGGAGAATATTGAGGAAAGTGATAGTAAGGATGGACGTTTAAAAATCTAAGTGGCAAGGAACCTGATGAGCACAAAGGATTTTCTATAGTTAAAAAATACAAATGTGCATCTCTCTTCTCCCAAAGGTCCTAACGTTGGCTGTTGATAGGGGCTCCATCTTGCTTTCCACTTCTTGCCTGTCCCCAACCCCCCGCAAAGCCTGAGTTAGTCCAAAATCTGGGTGCCTTTTCTCAGTTTTAAAATAGTAGCACAATGCTGCTGTGATCACACAAAGCTATATTTTCACTGTCATCTCTGACTTGTAATAGTGCTTGGTAATTACATGGTGCTTTCCATCTGCAAGTTGGTAAACACATTATAAATCTTAACTCTTTGATTCTCCCAACACCTCTGCGGAAAGAGGAAGAGACTGCACAGTGCCTTTGAGGTTTAGCTGAAGTTTGATCTGGTGACATCTCATTGAGGTGTTCGTTCCTGTATGTAGTAGAGCTGGTAAAGAAGCATCTGCTCTTAAGAGTGATGTTCGGGGCTGGCCCCGTGGCCAAGTGGTTAAGTCTGCGCACTCTGTTGCAGGCGGCCCAGTATTTTGTTGGTTCGAATCCTGGGCGCGGACATGGCAGCTCATCAAACCACGCTGAGGCAGTGTCCCACATGCCACAACTAGAAGGACCCACCATGAAGAATATACAACTATGTACCAGGGAGCTTTGGGGAGAAAAAGGAAAAAAATTAAAAAAAAAAAATAGTGATGTTCTGTGCTGCCAAATGAGAAAGCTGAAGTCTCCATAGAAGCAAGAATCCGAAGGATCCTCCTCCTGACCTCAGCGAGCAGATCTCTTGGCCTCCGTGGCTTAGCCAGTTGTTATTATTTTGAGTACAGATTAGATTTCTAGAATCGTTAGAAAATATTGTGTCTGTTAAAGGATGCAGGGGCACAACTTTTAATTATTTTGTTTTGTTTTGTAAAAAGAATTTTGTTTCTGATGTATGTTGTCTGACATTTAAAAGGAGAAATTCATCACTGCTTCTTTGGCAGTAATTTTTGTGGCATTTTGTTATTTTTTTTAAAAAAGTCATTTCTTCCTAAAATCTGTTTTTTTTCGTCTTTTTACATCCAAAAGAATGGAATACCAAATAACTTTGAGATTTATCACAGTGAATTTCAAAAGCCAGACTAGACTTTAAAGAGACTTATAGAACAACACAAAATAATTATTGTACAGTTTTAAATTTCTTTAGCCATAGCTTCAATACATTGCTTCACTTAACTAACATGATTTCAATTTATTATGCAAATGTAACAACTATTCCATTAAAAAATATGTTAGAAAGATTGCATACTTTGTTTTTGCAGCACAATAAATTGTGTTGAATGTTGCTTTTTCTTTGATTTGCTTATTTTGTCTTTAATGACAATCTATTTAAAGTAAAAGTCTTTCAAGTGGCAGAACAACATGATAACACGTCTTCACTGGTAATTTAATCCTTGGATATAATGCGTTCATCTGAGAGAGTCCATTAAAAACAGCAAGGTGCCGAACACCAAAGCCGAGATGTTTTTAATCACAGAATTACAGTAATTATACAAATCTGAGATTTTCATCAGACAGAAAAGCCTTCCAGGGCTAAACATGCACTTTAGACTTAGCGCTAATAACTGTGTTTTGTTCCAAATTATAGGAGCGAGAATCCTCAGGCCAAGGGAAATATCGTAGAGAATGTTATGTGTTGACTTTTTAAGGAAAATTAAGAAATAAACTACTTTGATAACATCATATCTGTAAGAGTCACATAACTGGGTGATAGAAGAGTAACTCTCGGGTGTGGCCATAGTCCGTAGTCAGATAAAGTCAATGAGCCTGTCACTGTCTGCTGTATTTTCAGCATAGACAGAAGGCTAGAAGGAACAGATCTCTCTTCTCCCAGGGGTCCTGAAGTTGCTAACTAACTGGAGTACCTCTTCCAGTTGGTAAATGGGACAGACCACCAGTAAATGGGATGATTATTGGCCCAGAATCTGGATTTCTGGGTCAGGTGCAGACCATGTACAGAATAATTTAGTTATTGTGGTGATTATTAAAAGTGTCAAATTTTTAATAAAATGGCCAGGACACAGTACCCTCAAGGAGCTTGTTTTGAAGAAGTGATATAAAAAGATACATCTAGGAAGGTTTTATAAAAATCCCGCTAAACAAGAAATTTTATTTGATCTAGTTTCCATCTATCATTCTTTATTTTTTTCTGGCTCAAATGGGTAGGCGAGATGAGGAAAGGGGATTCAGGAAGGGAGAACACTGGGAGGGAGCGTGCTGTGGGGATGTCCTGCTGGGGGAGGACTCAGGGAGGACGCCTGGGGGAAATGGAGGAGGCCAGTTAGGATGGCCCCTCATCTGTCTCTGGGGGTTTGGAGGTGAGGTGCAGAGCATTATTCGAATGCAAGGCCCTGCGATCTGTCTGGGTGTTTCTGATGGGCACTCAGGACACAGAAGTCCTTCTAGAGGCTGTGGCAGAGACAGGCCTGGGATTTGAGTCCTGACAAGACAGTATTCTGGTTTCTGTTCTCCCAACCCCATCCCTTTCTGTGGTGATCTCATCTGTCTGCAAGCAGAACTGGAGTCAGCTGGAACAACCGTCCCCTGATTCCTTCTGAATATGTTAGCATCCACATTTATTATTTGCATATTTGAGCCTCCGGTGCTTCCCCACCTCCTTATCAGAAAGCTTGAAGGCCATTTGGAACCAGCTTGCAGCCCTGCCCTGTGCTGTAGGCCTCACTTTTTGCATCCACTAATGCTGGGCAGGCCCTGGCCGGGGAAGTCCCTGCCTGCCATTTCAATGTTATTAAAGTTTTGCTTTTTCCCTTTTAACTTTCAAAATAATATGTGCCATTGTGGAAAATTTACAAGATACAGAAAAATATAGAGAAGCAGAAAAATCATCCAGAGAGAATCCCACCCAAAGAGATTCACGTTTTGCCATATTTCCTTCCAATCATTTTTCTGCATCCTTTGTTCTTTATATGCATAGTTCTGCAAATACATAGTTGTCTTTTGATTTACAAACATTTAACAATATTTAATCACCTGTCATAAGCATTTCCCATAAACCTCATGGGAGGTCTCTTGACTGTTGATTGCCGTAGTGAACATATGGGTGTTCACCTTATTAAGTGTCTTGTCGTTTGTTCTCTTCCCAGGCCCCCTCTTGTCTGCCGCACATCTGGAAGGCTATGATGGGAATGAATGTGAAAACTTGGAGGTTTCACCTAACTCGTTGCTTCTGCTCGGAAGATCACCCTTTAGAAGTGGGAAAGCTGCTGCACGTGGTGGTCGACTCCAAGGGACAAGACGACATGTAGAAAGCGATGGATGAAAGCACCTCAGGGAGCCGCCGACGCATGCTCCCGGTGGCCTAGTCCAGGGAAGCCCTTCCGCGGGGCTCTGGCATCTGGAATGCCGCCAGTTCTGGACGCAGGGCTGATTCCTGAATGAGGATGGTCCGGCGGGGGCTGCTTGCGTGGGTCTCTCGGGTGGGGGTTTTGCTCGTGCTCCTCTGCTGTGCCATCTCTGTCCTCTACATGTTGGCCTGCACTCCAAAAGGCGACGAGGAGCGGCTGGGGCTGCCCCGGGCCAACGGCCCCACAGGGAAGGAAGGGTACCAGGCTGTCCTGCAGGAGTGGGAGGAGCAGCACCGCAACTACATCGGCAGCCTCAAGAGGCAGATCGCGCAGCTCAAGGAGGAGCTGCAGGAGAGGAGCGAGCAGCTCAGGCATGCGCAGTATCACGCCAGCGAGGCCGCGGGCCTGGGGCCCGACCCCGGGCTCCCCGAGAAGCCCCAGGCAGATCTGCTGACCTTCCTGCGCTCGCAGGTGGACAGGGCGGAGGTGCACGCCGGCGTCAAGCTGGCCACCGAGTATGCCGCGGTGCCCTTCGATAGCTTCACGCTGCAGAAAGTGTACCAGCTGGAGACGGGCTTGACCCGCCACCCCGAGGAGAAACCCGTGAGGAAGGACAAGCGGGACGAGCTGGTGGAAGCCATTGAGTCTGCCCTGGAGACCCTGAACAGTCCTGCGGAGAGCGGCCCAAATCAGCGTCTTTACACGGCCGCGGATTTCATAGAAGGTCGGCAGGTTTGTGAATTGGGGCGGGAAGTGAAGACAAGGCGTCTGGGTGTGGGCACCCGGGCAGCTCACGGCTGGAGGCTGGGGTTGGCTTTGGGGATGGCTGGTAGAAAGTTTCACGTGGGCGACGCCAAGGTGTGTAGCATGGGTTTTGCTTTTCAGAAACATCTGCTTCCACTTCTTTCCGGTGGAAACCACAGACACTGAGTGGACAGGTTCATTGTTCCTGGGCAGAAGGAGGAAGAACTCCTTGCTTTTGTTTCTCTTTTTTTAAAAAAGAGAGAGAATAAAATAGAAACATAAAACTTTGAAGCCCAAATAGAGTAGGATAGGCAGTTTTGATTTGTCCCTTCTCACAGGCTCTTCTCCTGCAGATTGGTTACAGGCCTGGAACAGGAGAATAGCAGCAAACGTGTACGATGCAGCACTTAGATCTGCCAGGCTCTGTTCTAGGAACTTCACACTTACGAATGCACTCTTTTCTCGTAATGACCCCATTAGGGGATGAGGAAGTGGAGATTCGGGTTAAGTAAGTAAGTTCTCTAAGGTCGCTCAGTTACCAAGTGACAGAGCCAGGATTTGAATCTAGGAAGTCTGGTTCCCAAGTCCACGTCCCTAACCACTAGGTTATGTTGTACAGATTGTCAGAGCACATGGAAACCAGTGAGATGAGTGGCTCTGCTTTTTTCCTGTGCACAGAACAACCGACTATCAATTCGTGTTTGATTGTGTCTAACTTCAGAAGAAAGCCTTGTCTAGTTTCTTGGGAGACTCATTGGTATCTTCTTTTTATCAACTTTTCCCATTGTTACTGGTTCAAAAATCCACTAATAATTTGGGAGAAGTGGTGCCATCAAGGGCATCCAGGTCCTCGCCCTGTTTCTGGATGGAGTCTCCTCCAACTTCCCAGACGTGTAGCTGCGGCCTCATTACCCCACTCCCTCCTTAGGTTGTGTAACCGCCATCTCATCAGCCTACGGGCAAGACAGACTCTCTTTAGTCATATCAGAAACCCTCCCACTGTTGTTTATGCCTGTTCTCTTTGGACACTTCCCTGTCTTATGGTTTTTTTCCACTTTGTATGTGAACTGTAAATTCATGCAGTTAGGAGACATTTCCACATAGGTTGTCTTATTAACCGACCCCCTGGCAAGATCATTAACATCCTTAAAACACAAATCCTAGTTGCCACCTGCCCTGGAGTATGCTACAAGAGCTGCCCACATACAAAACAATTTGAAAAGAAGTTGATTACGATGCAATGCCTGCAATCTGGAATGTTTGCCCTTATGATTTTAGTCTGCATTCATATTTGAAATCTCTGCTTTTCTGTGTACGATATCTTAATACATAAGGCCTGTTGTCTCCATCAGCAGTGACACAGGCCTCTCATCGCTGAGTTTATTGCTTCTAAGATCTGGCTGGCTTTCTCTTAGAGACACGTTCTTGTGGCTGCCCATTGTTGCTTTCATGTGCTGCACACACCCCGTGTTTTAAGCCAGATCAAACCACACAAACCTTTCAAATTTGGTGAAAGTCTAGTCAGCTGTTTTCATATGATGAGTAAATAGACACGAACACTTTAAATATATTTATACGTATTTGACTGTTATAAGAAGCACAGTTCGTTTCATTTTTTCATTCTTATCACAAAAGATTATGGAGGCAATCTTTTATTTTCTCAGGAAAGAGAACATTGTGAAAGATTCCGCTAGTCAGAGGAAGCTGCAGAAGGAGAGTTAAATTCAACATAAGGAGTAACTTTCAAACAGTGATGTTTCAGGACAAAGTGGGATTCCCGTCACTACAAGAATTGTGTCATCTGGCCACTTGGCCAGGAGGTTATAATCCATGATTGCAGCATCGGAGAGGTGGTGGGACTGAATTACATGGAGGACCTTTTCAATCCTGGCTCATGATTCTTTGATCTACATCTAGTTAAGGAGAAAGAGGGGAATGGAAAGGGTCTGATTTGAAGTCTGTTTTCTATAATGAGTGATGGGACCTTATCAGGGTGAAGTATATCTTTCAAATTACTTACCTTGGTTTCTTTACATAACCTTAGAGAGATTGATTTTGTGTTTCGGGTGTCAGTAGTCCAAAAGTTGGAGCAATTTAGTAGAAGTCCATGGGGAAATTTTAGGTGACAAGTGGGGTTTTCCACTCTCTTGGAGAGTTCTAAATGAAGGTGACAGATTTGGTGAACCCAGAAGTAGTGTGATAAAGATGGGGAGTCTTTGTGTTTAAAGAAATAAAATAAAAGCCTGTGGAATGCTCCCAGCTGATAATAGCTATGTAAAACTTAAAACTCCCTAGGAGGCAGGTGGCACGATCACATGAGCCTGGGGAGTGTGTGAGCTCCTTGAGACTCGGTTTCCTCATCTGTCAAAAAGAGACTTGACTTACATGTCGTCCAGGGCTCTCCCCAGCCACAGCCTTCCACAGAATGCAAAATGCTGGTTTGACTTCTTTTCTTCTTAGCTTTGCCAAGAAACCGTCCCCGAGGGATGTCCTGCCACCCACTCTGCTGGGTGACCCAGGACATGCCACCCACCCTTTTGGATCCTCCACTATACAAGGAGGAGTGCAGATAGATTATTTATAAGGTCTGGTCTGACTGGGGCCACTTTCTACAACTCTGTGAAGCTTGCAGAGGGAGAATACCACGTTGATGACTCTAATTTATTATCTATATTGATTTAATTATTATCTGTCTCTAAAGGACAGAGGGAACAACGTTTGCCTCCTTTTTCCTTTCCCCAGATGTTTCGCTGGTGCTGGTTTTTGCTTTGGAGTCTCACATAATAGCACAAATTTTTTTTACAACCATCTGGGAAAAGAAGTTAAAGTAGGAAAACGTGATCAGATCCTGGGCCTTAGGATGCCTATTTCTCCTCGAGTAAACAGAAACTCTTCCTTTTGTTTGTGGTTTAGTTATTCCTTCAGTGTGGGGTATACAGACTCCCATTTAAATCTGAGTGGCGCAACATTTGGCTTTGATTTCATACTTTTAAATAGAGCTCTTGGACATAAATTTGACATCATTCCATAAGACAATTTAGCTTTCTGAATTACTCCTTTTAGCATCCATACATCTCATCGTGTGGATCCTGTGTGAGGCATTTGTGTCTGCTATCTCCAGCAGTTTCTGTCTGTTGTCAGCCTGGGCAGCTCACCCTCCTCCAGCTTTTGAATGGTTAGGAGTGGCAAGAGTGGGTCAGACACTAAAAGTGTTGATTTTGGGGTGAGGTGGAGCCATGCCATGATCCACAAGAAAATGAAAGTGTTAAGGGCATTTTGAGATATGTTTTAAAACAAGGGGATATAGAAACAGCTATAAAACCTTAGTAGCTGCCTGTGCAGTAAATCCTGACCTCCTGTCTCTGCAACCAAGACCTTGTGCTTTCTGGGAAGCTCAGGGACGGAGGGAAGATACAGAGTGTTTGACTCCCTTGTTTGTGTCTCACCATAGCCTCCAGGGAATGCCCTGTGACCACTTAGCTAAAGCTTTTTCAGACATGTTCCAGGTCCTGAGTGCTTGGAGAGCAAGGTGCTTGGGACTGAGGATGGGAAATGAGCCCTTTCCACCGCGTGCATTTCAGAGACAGGCTTCTTTGTCAGCAACTTTGTGACTTGGGGTAGAAAAGGTATGGCAGGTGCATTTCTGGGCATTTGGGGGCATCTGGGGATCTTGGTGCAGAAGTAAGGGAGAGCAGGTCTTCTGCACAGTGGGTGGGTCTGATCTGTGTTTGGAGTGTGGAGGGAAGACAGAGCGGCGGGGAGACTTGCTGGCAGGCAGGACAGCAGAAGGACGTCAGGGCCTGAGGTGTGCCTCAGTTCTCAGCCAGCGTCTACAGGGAAGCAAGGGCTCAGGATTCGGGACAGCCTTCTGACCATCCCTCACTTCACTGTGCGCAGGGCTGACCGCATGGGTTTACGGGGAGGTTCTGAGCAGGCCTGCAGGATATTAGGTCCCTCTGTCACCTCACCCTGTCCCCTCTGTCCCACTACCTCCCTCCAGTCTCCTCATTTTCTGCTGATGATTTAAGTTTCTTTAAGGGGACAAATGCTTTTTATTCTGAAATCAGAGATAAGAGGCTTAAAAGCAAATAAATGGTTTGAGGCTACACTTTGTAGAGCGAATTCTGCCTGTGGTGAAAGAAGGTGGCCCAGCGTTGGGTTTCTGCCAGTGGGCAGGAGTCCTGCCCTCCATCAGGGCAAGAAGAAGAGCCCCGTGCTAGAATAGATGTTCTGCTGTCGCAGAATATTTGGAAGTTCTTAATAATTTTTGAACAAGGGACCCCACATTTTCACTTTGCGCTGGGCCTGCAAAGTAGGAAGCCAGTCTTACCTCCACAGTTGGGAGGACAGGACGGAAAGGTAAGGAAAGAGGAAGATGGAATTAGAAGGTGACCTGTGCAGTCCTGCCAGCTTTGCCGAGGGTCAGTCTGTTGACCTTCCCTGGGCTGGGACAAATGGAACCTGTGTTTGACATACATTCTATGCGGATGGAGTATTTTGTTACAAGACTGCAGAAGCTTTGTGTTATGATGATTTTGCTTTTGGTATTTATATTGTACTCACTCAAAACAATTTAGTTCCCAGGGCACTTTTTAAAAACTTGAGGTATCTCTGTTCTTCTGCCTTATGTTTCCTATTAAGAATAGGCTGTAAGAGAGCTCTCGTGATGCTGTGGGATGTCGAAGATAGAAGAACTTGGCTGTAGCGGGAGTAGCAAGCAAAGGCTCCATGGAGCGAAGGCCTGACCCGGGCCTCGCACCGACTGCAAGGAGGTGTGGGAATGGGGCGGAGGGGGAGATGGGCAGACAGGGGGCCGCCTGCACACGAAGGGCGCAGCCCCGGTGGTGTGGTGGGGCTGCTGCTCAGACCTCAGCCTGCTCAGCCGTGTTGGGTAGGAAGTGGTGTTTACAGAAAGGATCTGTAGATTTTTCACCAGACCTCTAGTTTGTCCTCTGTTAGGGTCATGGATGAGGTCCTGTG